AAATTTTTAATTTTATTTTTTTTACTTTTTTATTTATATAAACTAAAGTAAAGTAATAATATCTTTAAAAACTCTAAAAAAAGCTTACTAAATATATAACTTAGCTATAGATTTTAAGAGAGAATATTTATTATCTATAATTAATTATAATATCTCTCTAAGCTTATTATTACTAATTACTAGTAATTAGATCTCTTTTTATAATAATAATAAATATCTCTAATATTATTATTCTCTATAGCTAGAGTTTAATTATTATAAATAACTAGATCTTTATATATATAATAGTTATTATTAATAATAACTATTAGAATCTCTTTTTAGATATTAATTATTTAAGTTTATAATCTATTATAAGTTTATTTATAATAATAAAGCTACTCTCTTTTATATAGATCTAGTAGTTATATCTACTAGAGCTATTACTATATCTAATAGCTAGCTAATAAGAAGATATATAGATCCTAATCTTCTATATACTTATAGAGAACTATATAAATATTCCTCTAGTATTTAATAATTATTATAATCTAATATATTATATATAGTATTAGTAGATAATATATTAATTTAAATTAATCTAGATTAAAATAGCTCTTTAAATTAAATAAAAAGTCTATTTTAATTAGTATTAAATAGATAGAAGAGAATAGAATTAAATTAAATTATTAAAAAGTTTATTAGAGTAAAAAGTTAAATTAAATAAGATTAATAAAATAGTATTTAGAATATAGTAGGTTAATTAATCTAATACTACTATAGATTATTTAAAAAAGATTATAATAGCTAATTATAAAGTTATTATATACTAATAAAGACTAAATATAGTTTATATAGTAAGTATTTATTTATATTATAAATAATTATTAGAATTTAGAAATAAATATTATTTCTCTATTTAATATTATTTTATTAGATAATCTATAATAACTAATTATATATTATAGAAATTAATATATAAGATTTTCTATAAAGCTTATTTTTTTATATAAAATAAAGTATTTATACTTTATAAGTTTATTAATTATTATTAAAATATTATTATATTCTACTTTAGTTATTAGTTTTTTAAATAATAATAGTTTAATAATATAAAAAAAAATACTAATTATTCTAATTATTCTAATTATTCTAATATTAAAATTAGTTTTAATTCTTTATAGAGTTTATATTATATAAATTTAATTCTTATATAAATATTATAATTTAAAACTATAGTTTATATATCTTTTTATAAATTTAAATAATTATAATATTATTTAATTCTATTAAATATTTTTTTAATTTTTTAATATTTTAAAAATAGATATTTATAAATTTCTTTAATAAGTATTATTCTAACTTTTTATTATAGTTTTTTTAAATTAGAAATAATCTCTATTTAGATTTTAATATATATTATTTTCTTAAAAATAGTTCTTAAGATTTTCTATTATTATAAATTATATTATTATATATTAGAGTTATATAGTATATTCTACTTTTTCTAACTAATTATTAGTAGATTATTAAAATTTTATAATAATTCTAATAATTTAGAATAATAGATTATTATTAAATATTAATAATCTCCTAGTATATATATATATTTATTTTATTAAAATAGAATACTTTTTTAAATAGTTATTAATATAATTATTTATATATCTATTATTATTACCTTTATAATACTTATATATTAATAATAACTTATATTATATAGTTTATAATAATCTAATTATACTATTTAAAATAATATTTTAATTAGTTTAATTTTAATTTACTCTAAACTTTATTTAATATAGATTATCTAATTATTATATATTAATAACTCTTATTTAGCTAATTATTTTATTTTAATTACTATATAATAATAAAGAAAATATTATAATTACTATAGTTTCTCTAGTTTAGTAATAAAACTCTATTACTAATAATCTATCTATTCTAAATAATAATAATATTATAAATAAAAATAGTAATAATAATAATAATAAAAATAATAATAATATTAAAATTAAACTTCTATAAGTATAAGTTCTTTAATTTTAAAAATATTTTATAACTATATAATAAGAAATAATAATTATTATTATTTTTATAGAATAATAAGCTATTTAAAATATTAATTTTTAAACTTAGATTTAAATTATAATCTAAGAAAGAGAACTAAAAGTATTATTTAAATTACTATTATTTAAAATATTTAATAGAATTTAAAATAAATTTTAAAAATTTATAATCTAATTTTAAATATATTTTAATTATTTTTTTATTACTTTTAATAATAATAAATAATAAATTATTTATATTTATTTATAACTTAAAAAAACTATATTTAATTAGTTTAAACTTATTATAAGAAAATACTTTAATAACTAAAGAAATTAATAAACTATTAATATTATAATAAATTTTTTTTTTTTTTTTTTTTTTTTAAAGTTTTTACTATATATAAGAAATATTCTAAGATTAGGCTATATATAACTAGATCTATATAATTTATTTTTAACTAAGTTTTAATCTATATTTAATTTTTAATTTTTTTTTTTTTTACTTTCTATTATATAGTTAGCTAAGATATAGATAATAGTATCTCTAAAAACTCTAAAAAAGACTTATTAAATATATAATTTAATTATAAGCTCTAAAAGAGAATATTTATTATCTATAATTAATTATAATATCTCTCTAAGCTTATTATTACTAATTACTAACTACTAATTATCTCTCTTTATAACTATAATAATAGATATCTCTAATATTATTATCTCTAGTAGCTAGAACCTAGTTATTATAAGTAATTAGATCCTTATATATATAATAATAGCTATTAGTAATAACTCTTAGAGTTTTCTTTCTAATATTTAATATAGTTATCTAAGCTTATATTCTATTATAGGCTTTCTTATAGTAATAAAGCTATTCTTAATTATATAGATCTAGTAACTATATCTACTAAACCTATTATTCTATCTCTAAGCTAGTTAGATAATATTAATAAACCTAGTTTAAAATAGAATACTTAGAAAGAATTATAATAATATTTCTCTAATACTTAAGTATTATTATAATCTAATTTATAACTTATAGTTCTAATATATAATATACTAAATTAAATTAATTAGAATTAAAATAGTTCTTAAAGTTAAATAAAAGTTTATTTTTATTAGTATTATTAGATAGATAGAAGAGAATTAAATAGAATTAAATTATTAAAAAGTTTATTAAATAGAAAAATTAAATTAAAAAAAATTAATAAAATAGTATTTAGTATATAGTAGATTAGTTAAATACTACTATAGATTATTTAAAGAAAATTATAATAGCTAATTATAAAGTTACTATATATTAATAATAACTAAATATAGTTTTATATAGTAATAAATATATAGAGATAATTATATTAATAACTATCTAAAAGAATATTTCTATCTAAGAAATAAATATATATATATACTAGATAGCTTATATAGATTTACTAATAATCTAGAATAAGTTTAGTTTTAGATTATATAGGCTTACTAGTAATCTAGAGTAATCTATTTATTATTAATAAAAAAAGATTAAGTATAATATATAATACTAGGGGTATTCTTTTATTTATAATACTTAATAGATTAAAAAAGTTCAGGGTTTTTTTATAATTCTTTATATATAGATAAAATTTATAAAGTATAGCTATAACCTTCCTAGATACTCAGTATATAGGTATTATACTAAGCAGCTTCCTAATTAAAGGGACTAGGGATAGTATTATTAGGAGTAGGGTTATCAGGGATATAACTGCTAACCTTTTCAGCATATTGTATAAGAGGCCGAAAGACCTCAGAATTGCTACTGTGCTGCGCCTATTATATCAGACTCCGGTCGATACCGCCTTACTCCTCTACGGTTGCAACTTTATTGATAAGAAGCTTTACTATATCTAGGTGACTATTCGCTACCGTAGTAAATAATAGTGTTAAACCTGGTATCCGGGTTAATACGCCCTTCTGAGAGCAAAACTTGTACTACTTGATGTAGCCTATACCTAGAAGCCCAGAAGAGGGCTGTGCGGCTAAGGTCGTCCGGTTTATTAGTATTAATATACGGTATTCCTAATAATATCTTAACCACCTCGATATATCCATTTAAGGATACTGCAATTAATAGCGTCCATCTGTCGTTATCTGTAATATTTATATCGGTCCTTTTGTCGAGAAGCAGCTTGGCTAGCTCGATATGTCCCTTCCGGGATGCTGCATAGACTAGCGTCTATCCGTTGTTGTCTGTAATATTTATATCGGCCGCCTTGTCGAGAAGTAGCCCAGCAAGCTCGATGTGTCCCTTTCCTAATGCCGCTTCTACCACAACCATGGTGATCGTGATCTGGTCCCCCACCTGTCGAGAAGGAGCGCCGCTACTTCCCTGCAACTCCTTGAATTGTTCGCTGCAGCTTTCATTACACCCTCGGTGACGGTGACCTGGTCACCCCGTCGGTCGAGAAGAAGCGCCATTATTCGTTCGTCAAGCTGTTGTGCTATCGTCTTCACGGCCTCCGTGGTAATCGTGATCTGCCACCCCCTGCGGTGGAGCATAAGCGCCATCACTGCCTCGCCATTCTTCTCGTTCCTTGCCGTAGCCTTCACTATACCCTCGGTTATGGTGATCTGATCGCCCCGTCGGTCGAGAAGAAGTGTTACCATTCCTTGCCGCTTCTTGAATTGTTCGCTCCTCAAAGGGTTCAGGGGAATACAAGAGTAATTGATCTCACAGAGGAGGAGTCTAAGGCTATCGACGATATCGTGGACGAGTTTGAATCTGCTTTACCGCGATATCCTAACGGAATTCCTACAGAGACTTGAAGTAAATACAAACATCCAAGTTCAGTTGCACCCCGATTATTAATGATATCCTCCTCAATTTTGCAATATGGAATTAAATAGCTCCTCCCTAATTATGAAGATCAATGGGGCCAAGTATCTCGATGAAGACCACCTGCCTCGACGGAGGCAGCTGATGGCCGTGTCGTTCACAGCCTAATGCTCGGCGGGTAACTCGTTAATAATTCTGGGTGTTGCTGGATCACCAGAGGGTAGCTCGCCAGGAACTTGCTCTGCGTTGAGTTCCACGGGCGGTCCTTGCTCCACCGGAGGAGGACTGGGATAGTTGGAGGACGCCGTGCCCCGGGTCCCGGCTGACTTTTGTCGAGAGATCATAGACATGGGGGTGTTTCTTACACTTGACAATCCCGCCATGTTCCCCGTTTGTGATGATATCGAGTACCTTTCTTGGCGCCTCTCCTCACGACGATGGAGGACCCTTTTCCCTAAGTAGTACCATGCTAACAATAGAAGCCCCAGGCCTGCAACGGAACCAATTACAATGCCAGCAATAGCACCGCCTGAAAGGCTTGAGGTATCTGAAGAATTCATGTCGACATCGCGAGTCGGCTTGCGGTCAGGAATTACCGGCTTTCGATCAAATAATGTTTGTAGCAGCTCGTTCCCAGGGTCGAACCCCTTTTGGGGCGCCGTAAGATTTGCCCCTCCCATCTTGTCTCCGCCTGTGACATTATATACGTCTATAGGGACGACGTTAGTGGTGATGTTGGGGTTATATAACGCCCAGTAGTAAGATGTATTGTCTCCTGCATTCTGGTTCGTGCCTGTCCAGAAATTATGCTGGCCCCAGATTTCATACGCCAAGTCACAGTCGTTCGTGTCTGTATAGGTTCCTCCAATGACAAGCATTTGAGACATCGACTTGACCATGTTGCACGAGGCGGCATAATGACCAAATTTGGGAGGGAGAGTATAGTTTCCGGAATTGCCGGGGTAGGCTTTGACCCAATTGAAAGACGGCATAGACAGTATGTAGATATCGTTGTATGAAGTAACATTTACTTCTGGGGGTGTAACCTTGTGTCCTCCCCACAAGTAGCTATGGTTTCAATGAATTAGTTTGATACACAGAGGAGATTCGAGAGGGGTGAAGCGGTACATGTTGTAACTTGACCTATCTGGTGCCCAGGCCACATCCATACAGAACTGGCGTCGATTCTGCGGTACTTCTCCTGTTGCTGACTGTTTCAACCATGAATTATCCGTTGGGTCGTAGACGAAGATTTCGTCGAATCCCTGAGGTTGCACTGTATTATTCTGACTGACAACACCACCCATATACACAAGAAGCCCTCGCGCATCTCCAGCTGGAATCCAAACCATGGCACCTTCTGCTCTAGGCAAGTCATCCGGATTAGCTGCTTGGGTGAAATCGTTTGAGTCATAGTCATAGGAATAGAAGTTTGAGCTCATCTTTCGCGGTTGAGTCCATCCGCTCATAGAGGCATTGCTGATATATCCCCCGTAGTAGTACCCACTTCCAATCTCCGAGACGCCAACTCCAGCACCGTAGGCTGCGACTTGTGGTGGAGGTTTTATACTTGGCAGTCCGAAGTCATCCCAATGGTTGTAGAGAACATCGTACCCTAAAACGGTAAACACTGCATCTGCAGTTCCTCCAGTCCACTCACCGCCGTAGAGATAAAACCTCTTGTTCACTGAATCACCCCAAAGGACTCCGCCATGTACAGTCGGAATACTTTAAGAAGAAATGAGTATATGCTGTTTGTTTGTTTGAAGTGGTAGCATGGTCTGAAATAAAAGCCAAGAAGACTAACCTCTCATTCTTACTCAAACTTATGTTGAGATCAGGAAAACCATCATGAGTATGACTGAGATCATGATAAGACAACCAGGTGTCTCACAAATTCTAGTCAATATCTTATACTTATTCAGCCTTCGCATAACTCTTTGAAGTGGCTACTTACTTGGATAGTCTTGTTGCTTTTGTGGGAAATTATCGAAATTAACCCAACCACCGTCGATGTACAACTTGTCATTAATAACAGTCGTTTGATGAGCATACCTCCGACAGAAGTTGTCTCTTGGGGTGTTGGCGACGACCCAATCGACCAAGAGAATAACTATTAGCCACACCTGTACTGTGTGCTCTTGGCTTGCAAGACCGGTAATTGAATACGAAGCGATCATGGCAACAACAGTCCACTGACAAGAATTGAATTGAGAAGAGCAATGATGTAGACTATTCGCAGACTAATCCAGCAGCTCTCAAAAGGATTTAAAAGCTACTCTTCCGTTTGCTCTGGCCAAGACATGTGATTGAGAGTCCTATATCAGTTGATATCTTTAGGACAAACCACGAGGATCATGATTGCGCTTTTAACTTGTCGAAACGGTCATACTTCAATAGCCTAACTTTATACGATGGTCTAGAATACGCCAAATTTTTGCTAAATGTGAGCTGAATATCCAAGTATGTGAGGTCTCCGCATTGGTGGCGTTTGGGAAACCCTACTTACGCCTTCTCCTAGTTAGTTCTCTGTGTTCCGAGGAGCCTTTATTAACCTACATTACACAGTTATGACATAGTGCTCGGATATGAATTAACGGAACCCCATAGACTCCGGCAAAATCACCTTTATTTTGGAGAAGACTGGAAAGCAGTGTTTGTTTGTTGATGACCTTAAATTTTCAGTTCAAACATTGTTCCCGTAATGATTGCCAGTATACATCATCTTCAAAATGTGGAACAGCTCAAAACTATAGTGGGTTATATATGTTAAATATGGTATAGACAATTTCCCTAGGGATCGAACTTTTTTCTCGGTATCGTAGCCGCTTGAAACTACCAGTGGCTACATTTACATCTCACTCGTACCTATTGACTCGGCTGAAGGAAAACAAACTTTGCATTATAATCAAGCCATCAGACTATTAGTTGGATAAGTTACTTGCCATATTTACGCCCCATGATTACAAAGTTTTGATTTTAATACTCATCGTGATGGCATTGTAACAGCATTCTAAAACCGAGTGGCTCATGCGTAATTTTAAAGGCTGCGCCGTACATTCCAGTAGTACGGCCAGAGTATGTGGCGCATCGCGGCTTGCAGAAGTGCAATACAGAGGGTAATTTAAGACGATGACGTGTCTTTTAGGTCAGATGAAGATGGCGTGGTGTTTGCGCGCTCTTTTCAAGACAGGCATCGTTCTGCAACAGTTCGAGAGTGTAGTGGCTGGAGTTGGAGACGAAACACATTACATAGCAGTTTAGGCCTAGCCATGATGATGTCGTCCTTTCCAATCTCCTTCGTGCAGCTATGACAGCAGTTGTGTTTCTCCATTTATATTAAAAGCGTCAAGCTGTGACCTTGAGCTACGCGTAGCAAACGTCAGAATCTTCCCCATATAAATACTATGGCAGAGATTCCTCCAGCTCCCGAGCTGACCTTATCTGTACCTTTTGAGGTTTCTAGTAATATGGAATTATACGTCCAGGTTGATAAAGCCTTGATACAAGCAGAGTCATAATAGGCGGCCAACACAGACTAGGTCAGACTGTGAGACATGCGATATAGCCGTTAAGCTTGTTAGGACTTCTATCATAGGCTAAATTAGTATGGCTGTGGGCGTACCTCTTAGAACTAGGGTTTTCAGCCAATTGAACCCCGATCCGTAACAGGGCGCTGTCATAGTTGCACCAAGGACCAAAGCCTAATAGAGCCACTTTTGGTCCTAAGCAAGTATGTTGCATGAGGACCAGGGCCAAACACTGGACCCCATTGTCCGGTATCCTCCTTCGTCCTCCCACCACTCACGATAGGCCAGTTTCTCAGTATAGCTCCTCGACTGACCCGATCCCAGCACGACCAGATCCTGCACATAATAAAGGAAACCTTCTCCGACGAAGCTATACTTGATGTTATGCCTTACACTACACGATCGCTCAGTAAAATACGATCAACGTTCTCACGATTCAGAACAACAACCGTGCCTGCAACCAGACTGGCCCTGAGCCTAAGATCACACCTACAATGGCAGCTGTACTTTCCCACCGGCGACCAAAGAATCCGAAATGACTCAGCGTGAGATGATTGATTTTATTAGAGAAGAGTTTGGCGAAGAGGTATCGGCTACTACGATATCTCGAGCCCTTAAAATGCCCAAAACAACATTAAAGGTAATGAGGCATGTAGCCCAGCAACAGGTCCCTGATCTACAGCACTTTTATTACTACCGGATTAAAATGATGGGAAGCCGTTCATATCGCTACATATTTATCGACAAGAGTGGCTTCGATAGACCAGGCATGCTTCGAAAGAAGGGATGGGCTCCAAAGGGTAAATCCTGCGCATCAAGGTGCATTATAAAATGCATGGTATAGATAAGTCGTTCTTTTAGTAATCATGATACGATTACCGGGAGAATGGCCTTGGGTGAGGTGACGTACGGAGTCTATTCCGGGCAGTTCCTCTTCTCTCCGCAGCTGTCGGGCCTTCCATATATATACTAGGTATAATTCAACCATAGATTATAGAGTTAGATACCAGTAATTTATGAACTAGTCTGCATTTAGGGCAAAAGGAAAATCAACCATTGCCAATTGCGAAAATTCAACCCGTAACTTTTCATTGTCCATCAGTTTTCTATATGCAATCTAGTTTCCAACGCCGCGACCTTAGTCTATCTATCTGATTCAAAATTCTTATATCCGGGGTACTTTCGCTAAAATATCTTTCATAATCACTATAATCACTATAATCGGAATCAATAGGTAAATATAATATCACCTCCGTGTGATAAAGATTCTAGCTACAGGGTAGGCTGAGTATGTGAACTTTTTTACCTATTGATAGAGAGAGGGATAATAGAATTATTACTCAGAAGCTAGGTCTTAAATTAGAACATAAGGTTAGGCTTTCAGTTATATTTATAAGCTTATAGTTTGATTAATAGCTGGTTAAGTAAGTGTTCTAGCTAAATAAATAGATATATATATATTTAATTTCTATATCTAGTTATCTTATAATAATTATAATAATATCTAATAAATTTCTATATATTTAAATATTATTTAAAAACCTCTAGAGATTTAAGAATATAGATTATAGAATAAAAGATATAGAGATATTACTAGTAGAGCTTTTTAAATTAGGGTAAAACTATTAGCTTAGGAGACTATATCTGATAAAATATATAGAACTGAATAAGAGTATATCTAAAAAGAATAAAGATCTTATAGAAGTTAATAGTTAATATAAGAATAGTAGTTAAAATAAATATTAGCTATTTAGTATCTAAGCTTAAAACCTTTCTAGTTTAGCTTTATAAAAGTAAAATCAGGATTATATAAATCTCTTATTTTATATATCTTCTAAATATTATAATCTCTATAGATTAAAATTAAATCTTACTATTTATTAGAATTACTTATATAGAGAAAATTAGAAACTAAGCTTTTCTATTTATTTATTTTATATAAGTATTTAAAATAGTACTAATATTAAGCTATAACTTATAGATTATCTTCTTTATTTATCTAAGAGATTATAAACTACTATTTTATAATTTTATATTAGCTTTAATAACTAAATTCTTTTAAAAGAGTTAGTTTTATAGATATATAATTACTTATTATTAAGACTAAAAGTATTTCTAATATTATTATACTTAGCTACTATAGTACTAGATTTAGATAGAAAGTTAAGAATAAATATTAGCTAAATATCTAGAATCTCTATAACTTCTTTAATAGAGGCTATCTATTAATTATAGATATAGATAAGCTGCTTAGTATTAAGCTTAATTATATAATAACTAAATTATACTCTAGAGATTTAATTAGAAATAAATAAATTATAAATTAACTAGGAAAAAACTTCTAGACTAAATCTATCTAAATATTTAATTAGAAAATTATATAGATCTAGTTATATATAGCCTGATCTTAGGATATCTCTTATATATAGTAAAATACTCAAAAAAGAAAAAATTTAATTAGAAGTCTCTATCTAAGAGTACTAGTTAACTAGTTATATAATAGTATTTCTATAGCTTATAGCTAGAAGAGAACTAAATATATTAAAATAAGATAGTAGAAAGATTATTAACTCTTTAAGGCTAAAAACCTAAGAGATAGTTTTCTTTATAGTTATATTATAGTTAATATTAATTATAGTACTAGTACTAATAGTACTATCTTCTAAAAGAAGTATAAAATAAATAGCTTAAATAAAGTTATAGATCTATAAATTATTAAAGATCTAATATATATTACTAACTTATAAAATATAATATTTTTTAAAGATAAATTAATTAATCTAATATTATTATAGATTATTTAAAGAAAATTATAATAGCTAATTATAAAATTACTATATATTAATAAAGATTAAATATAGTTTATATAATAATAATAATTATATAAATAATATTAATTTATTAATAATTATTTAAAAAAGTATTCTATTTAGTAAAATAAAAAATTATATATTAAAGAATTATTAATACTTAATAATAATCTATTATTTTAAATTATTAAAATTATTATAAAATTCTTAATAATCTATTAATAATTAGTTAGAAAAAATAAAATATATTATATAACTTTAATATATAATAATATAATTTATAATATCTATTAACTAAATCTATAAATAATAATTAATATTTATTTATTATAAATAGTTATAAAAGTTATAAAACTATTAAATTTATATAGAAATACTTTTAAAATAAAATATAATTTCTTTTTTTATTTTTATATTTATTATATATTTTATAATTACTTAATTTTTTTTTTATTTTTTTTTACTTTTAAATAAGTATTTTATTATTATTTTAAGAAATAATAAATATAAATAGATTTATTACTAATTAATAAAATAACTTTTTTAAAGTATTATTATTTAGTCTAACTAGCTATTTTAATAATTAAAAATATTCTATTAAACTAAAAAAATTTAAACTTTAGCTAATAAATATTATAATATTATTAATAAACTATAACAGTTAGATAACTTATACTAGATAGAATCTAGAGTAGATTAGAGTTAAACTAATTAGAGTATTATTCTAAATAATATAATTAGATTATCTTAAACTATATAATATAAATTACTATTAATATATAAGTATTATAGAGCTAGTAATAATAAAGATATAAATAATTATATTAATAACTATTTAAA